TTTGAAGTTGATTTGGTGGTCAATTTGGATGGGGTTTGATGGATTTGGGTTTAGACTTAAGTTAAGCATGTAGGGCTAAACTTGGGTCAAACTTGAGCTAGCTTTGGTCTAAGCTCAAATTGATTGTTGTGTTTGATGTAAAACATCCTTATGAACAATTTTCATGAAGGATGAAAGTTGTTTTGAAGTTGATTTGATGGTTAATTTGAATGGATTTTGATGGATTTGGGTTTAGACCTAAATTAAACTCTTAAGGGTCAAATTTTGGTCTAACTTGAGCTAGCTTTGGGCTAAGCTCAAATTGATTGTTATGTGTGGTCCAAAATGACCTTATAAAGGATTTTTAACAAAAATTGGATGCCAATTTGAGGTCTAAGGCATTCAATTGTTGAAATTTGGGGTGTTAGCCAATATTGGGGCTAATTTGGGGATTTTGTCAAAGATGGTCAAATTGACCAAATTGGACCAAGGTATAGTTGGACAAAATGAAATTGGGAATATTTTGGATTTATTGGGATTTATTGGGAATTTTTGGGAATTTTTGGAATTTTTGGATCATGGAGGGGTATCTTGGTAATTTGGTCATTTTTGGAAATTTTGACAAATTTGGATGTATTCAAGGTGTTTGAAATGTGTTTTGATCAATTTTGGGTATTTTGGCAAAATTTGGGAATTTTGGCCAAATTTGGGTCCCAATGGCAGTTAGATAATTTGGAGGTGTCTAGGGGCAAAAGACCAAGTTGGGGATTTCAAATAGAATTGGATAGATATCCATTCTAAATGAACCATGGATTAATGTATTGTGAAGATATGGTGTACCCTAGTTCTAAGTCAACACCCAGGGTCGATCCTAAAGTCAAGTAATCCTATAGGGACTCTTCTTGAATTCTCTCATAATGATCTTACCTACTAAATGCTAGATGTTAAGATCAATATGTGAAACTTCAAGTTGAGTAAAGAGAAAGGCTTTGAATTTATAATAGTGGGGTAGCTCTTCTAATTTTCTAAGAGTAGTCAATAGGAAAGTCCTATGGCTAGACCTAGGCTACTGAAGAAGTTTCTAGACCTCAACCAAAAGTGAGGTCAACAGATTGTTGTCATCAACTCATTGCTTTTAGTTTATCACCATTCAACCAACACTTTCCATTCCTAATCTTATTTCTTATTGATGTCCACCAACTTTGTCTCTATCTCACCACCACCATAAGACCATTATCGCTTGACCACTACTTTTAGATTGTCACCACTCATTTGTTGCTTGACTAATTTTACAAGGCCTTTGTTTCATTGAATGATCATTCTATTATGATCACCTAATCTCCATTTCACAACTACAATCATCTAAGTACATTAGCTTATCTATAATCTCCTGATCTCCATTTTCCAAATATGGTTACTTAAACACTATAAATTTTCCTTAGTCTCTAGATAAAGATCCCCCGACTATCACTGCTTGGCCTTGTATGCCAATATATAGTCGGTTGATAATAATTTTTCATCCTTACTTCAATTATCAAACTACGTCACTCTATCACCCAATTATAACTACTCTATGTTTGATAATAATTTTCTTAAACATAATTAAGTTTTCTTCAATCTTCATATTACAATCCCTCGATTATAACTACTTGACCTTCTACACCCATTTATAATTGATTGATAATAATTGTTCATTTATAACATCCTTACTTCAATTATCATACTACAGTTAACTCCTATCACCCAATCATGACTCCTCGTTGTAAGACACTTAGTTTAATTGACTAATAATAGTTGACCATCTACAACTTCTTGATCTTATCACTAAATAATTGTCCTTCAACTTTTGTGACCCGATTATATTTGTTAAAGCTTCTGTTCTCAATCACTATTATTTGATAATAGTTGGTCATCTATGTTTTCTTATCCATAGTCACCAGATGATGGTTTTTTGACATTTTCCCCCAACTATAGTTGCCTAACCTCCACTCCCAAAATACAATCACTTGATAATTGTCACCCAACCATACATTTTTTACCTCTATCGCTAGACCACACTTCTCTAACTTTCATTATTTAACTACAACTGCACACTCTTCGAATCATCTACAACTGCTGAACCCTATTTTATGGTTTCTTAACCAACATTTTTTAACTATAAATTTCCAATCTTTGTTACTTGATTAAAGTCCCCTGAATATTGTCACTTGACTACAATCACCCAACCACTTTCTCAAAGATACTAATATTAGTTGATACTAAAGAAGAAGCTTGCCAACATCATCTTTTGCCATTATCTATAAGGATGATGCATGTCTTCAATGCTCATCATTTTTCTAAGGCTAATGCATGTCATTAACATATGCATCATTTAACAAGCTAATGCACGCCGTTGATGTATACCATCGCCTCTAAGGATGATGCATGCCATAGTTGAACACAATCACTTATTAAGATGATGCACACTATTAACACACACATTGCCTCTAGAATGATGCACAAAATCAAAGCATGACATCACTTTATTATGTTGAAAAACACCATCAATAACAATGCAACACTCTTTAACTTTGTCGCTTGTAGTCGTAAACAATATTGTCATGTAAAATCATTGATGTGATGGAAACAAATTATTCATACCAAAATGAAATTAATTTTTTTTCTTTTTTACCGCTTTTCTATAAGAATGATGATTGAGCAATATTTAAGGGATTTATCAAAAACAACTTTAAATACACAAAAAACATTCATCATGGAGTTCAGTCTACATTATTCATGTTTACCAAAATGTATCAACAACTCCCTTAAAAATGGATAAGGACATTAATTGTAATCTATAACATATAATTGCTGGATTATTTCAAGTGGGTCAGCCCCATGATTTTCTTGGGGGGTTTTCATGTGAAAACTTGTGCCTCCTTTTGCAATTTTTCTTCTATATGTGTGTATATTGTATCTTCATAGGAAATCAATATATTAACTTATCACTTTATTATCTAAATTTCTCAGCACATAATAGTTCTAAAATGAATTTTTTGACATATTATTTAGGAGTTATTTTTTAAAAAACTTTATTATTATCATGGTAGCATTTAAAATCAAATTTTATAAAAAAAAACACTCTTTTTAAATTTACATTGTTGTGGACGATTGATTGCTATAACTTTTTTATCTCTTTGGCCTCGTTTAAAAAAAAGAAAAATTAACTGTTTTTTAATTTAGAGAGTACCATTTCTCCATTTTGGCATTCATTTAACTACAATACTTTCGTTAAATCAATTTAAAAAAAAACTACATTTTTTCCCATTTTCTTATCATGATTTTTTTCTGGCTATTTTGAATTTCGAGTGAGGATTGTGGATTGCAAAGGAAAAAAGATGAATGCACCCCTAAAATTAATGTATATTCTTCAGAAATTATCATCCTTACTCTTCACCATCTAATTCTATTTGCTATGCGTACAATCTATATAAACATCCAACCATATGGAATTGTAAAACCTTTTTCTTTGGTGCCCAAGACACCAACCTTACACGCTCCTTTGAATATGTTATCTCTACCATAGTGGCTCCATGGGGAACCAGGTCAAGCCTTATCACCAACAAGATGTGGTCGTATTTGTAAATACACCAATGCCAGAACTCAATAAATTCTTCCCTTGTCTGTCGTGTCAGTTTGCCAAAGCTAAAATAGATAACAAATTGATCGTGCTGGGCATCCAACTAAGAGAGGGTAGAGCTGTCCTCAAATAAGAGACTGGTGAAGACAGATGATGAGGTGGTGCATTCAATGAGGGTGTCATTCAAAGTAAAAACTTCAAAAAGGAAAGTGAGATAATTGTAAATTTATTTGGAAGTAGCTGCCATCTAAAAGCAAAGGGCAACACCTCTTTTATATGCATACTATATAAATGCTCATTTTATTTCATTTCATTCACTTGGCTTAAATCTCATGTGCCACACCGAGGATTAAATATATTAATTTATTTGACTACTTGAGGCTCCATAATATATTTAAAAAAGATTGTACTTGATAAATATTATTAATTGATGAAATTAATACTTAGCGTAAGATAATATTTCTTAAAATAATTTCAACATGTTACAAGTTTTATTCCACAGAATTAAAGAATTAAAATGAAACTAGTATAATGTAATAATAAATTGGTGATTGTTTTAAATTAAGAAATTAAATGCATTATATTTCTCTAATTTTTCTTCATAAAATTAGTAATAGAAATGAAATTTGTAATCAACAAAATGGGTATTTTAATCATATATTTGAAAAAAAAATTTAAACTAACACTTTAGTCAAATAGATAATAAAAACTATTTATTTAATAAAGCACATAAAAAAAAATTATTTAAAGGATAATAAGAACTCTAGCAGCCGCATCTTTAAAGATCTGTTTTCTTCTAAAGCTTATTTTTAAAATAAATTTTTGTAAAAGCAGTACGAAGCGCGAATCAAAACTCGCCACTGGGACAGCCCAATCTCATAGCTCCTGCCGTGCAATCCTCTCGCCATTTGTAGTTTCCTTCTTGGTCACAGTTAATCCAACAACCTCTCTTCCCGAAGCACTCGACAGGTATTGCGTTCCTCACTGTGAGTTCACCGGCGGCATGGCATTCTTCCCTTACCGGCTAGCCCGGCGGGTGTGTTGGCCGGCGGCGACGAGGGGATGGAGAATGTTCGCGACTACAGTGGCATCAAGGCCTATTATCGTCCATAAGCTGGGCCTTGACATCCTCAAAGACCCCTGGTTCAATAAGGTATCGATCTAACATCGATCTAACACAACAAATGTCAAGGCCTATTGCTTATTAGTTGTTATTGTTCCTCTTTAGGGCACCGCGTTCCCCATTACGGAGCGGGACAGGCTGGATCTCCGGGGGCTTCTTCCTCCTATCGTCTTGACTGCTCAGCAGCAAATCGACAGATTCAGTAAGTTTCGGTCTGCTTTGCGTTTCATTGATTCATGGAAATGTTCATATTTATTCCACCTGACAAGCATTTATAGGTTTGTGCAAGATGAAATGAGAGAGTAGGTGAATAAAAACACTGTTGTTTTATGGGGCCCGTTGTGCATTTATCTGTTTTCTTCTTTTGAGCTTGTAAATGAAGTTTTAAGAACTTGAGTTGGGGGAGCTGTTTTGTATCAGACAGTGGATTTGATATCCACAGATTTTTGTCTTTGAATTATTCTTGAGATTAAAGCAGCATCCTGCACCTCGTAATCAATATAAGAGGTTAGCGGTAAGTTATGTTATTATGAGGGTATTGCGAGGTTAATAGAGTATGCACCCAGAGTTGCGTGCGTATTACGTATGCAAATATTTCTCATCAAAAGAAGGGTTCTAACACACAAAGTTAGTGAAAGGATTGTGACCTAATGGTTAAAGGATAAGTTTGTTCTTCTAAGGTAACGGATACAAGCTACGACTTCTCTGATTCATTCCTCACCATTCAAAAAAAAAAAAAAAAAAAAACCAAAGAAAGAAAACCTTTTAGAGGATGCTTGTTTTGCTGGTCAATAGCGACATCTAGAGACACAAATTGCATGAATTTGGGAATTGGCACCACAGAAAAACATTGGTTTTATAGTGGAAGAACTTTTGGAAAAACCATTAAAATTCATAAAAAAGAACTCATTTGCGGTTGATTTTTGTCCTCTGGAAAAAATCATGCTAGAATAGTTTACCAACTATCAAAAAATCCAACCAAAAAAAAATTTTTTTTGGGTGAAAAACCTGTTAGAAATTCTGGCAGATTTTTCCGTCTGTGTGGATTGGTAGTCACTTGACAAACAATGAGGACTCTTGAGGGTAGGAATCTTAGGTTTATCGAGGAGAATTCCCTAAATTTGGAAAATACTCCTAGAATTGCTATGAGGACTCCAAATTTTAGGAAATTGTATCCTAGTGCTGTCAAGGACTTTTAAAGGTTGGACTTTGTCTGCTGTTATTGTGAAGAGGGATTTTCGAAAGTTGGAAGTTGACTCCTGGCCTTACAGGGAGACTCCTGTATGCTGTTGTTTCTTTGACTATAAAAGAATAATTTATAAGTTGAAAATTTTATTAGAAATATAGATCCTTCTCAAAAATTAGTTGAGAAAAAAGGATAAAAATACTTAAATATACTAAGGATTGCTAATTTATCATTGATGTTAATTTGTAATCAACGAAGGTGATCAAACTTTGTGCAAAAATAGATTTTTTAAAGTATCTCTAGCCTCTCTCAAGTAAGCCCGAATGCTTGGCCTGAGCATTGGTCAACAAAGGCCGCCCTCTTTGTTAGCCTATCGATAGTCATGTTCAATGAATGGAGGACACTAAGAATCTCAGTGTTGTATGGCCTTGGTAGCAATGTTAGGATTTTATTGTCAAAAAAAAGTTCCAAGGAGGGCTGTCAAGTTGTTTTGGTTAAGAACAAACACCATCACCCCTGATGAAAGTTACACATTATTTTTAATCCTGAGAACATCATTTTGAAACAATTGATGCAATATGTGATAAAACCTAGTGGTCACTGTTATTTGGAGAAGACGATCTGTAATTTTGCTGCTCTAACTAACACGAGTCATTTAATATGACTTGTTTTGAGGATAGAATGACCATTTATTAGAGAAATGCTAAGCAGTTCTTTCTTTCCTTTTTTTGTGCGGGTTTGATTGTTTATTGAGTTTTATTTATACCTTTAACATTACTGAAGAAAATATCAGTTTCTGCTAGATACACAACTCTGATTACAATAGGATATTGAACTTGACAACCAGTTGAAACTAGGATGTGACGAAACATATTTGGTCGGTTATGAATACTTCACATCCTCTTCTTTTAACAAGTATGAAAAATGAATTGTTTGTGTGGCAGTGGTTGACTTGAACAGATCTCAAGTGAATGCAAGAGATGGACCATCAGATAACATTTCTTTAGCAAAATGGCGCGTTTTGAACAGGTTGCATGACAGAAATGGAACCATGTATTATAAGGCAAGTTTTAGTGAGGGTGATTGCGCATGAGTTTTTCATTTCCTTTACTTTTCTTACTTGTTTCATGTCCTGAAATTACTCTCTCTTTCCTTATTTTTCTGATTTCATGAATGTTGATGAACTTATAATACTGTGGTATGTACTTTTTTGTATTTATGTATTATATATGTTAATGGTTATGGTATGTTAAAAAAAATTGTATCCCTATGAGAACCCGCACTATTAGGTATAGTGTGCTAGCAAAAGTCATTTTTACAGATGTTTAGTTTAAATTGATATCTATTGAATGCTTTGCAGGTTTTAATTGATTATATTGAAGAATTAGCACCGATAGTGTACACACCAACAGTTGGTCTTGTTTGCCAAAATTATAGTGGACTATTTAGACGACCAAGGGGAATGTACTTTAGTGCAGCAGATCGTGGGGAGATGATGTCAATGGTTTATAACTGGCCAGCTGAGCAGGTAAAATTTAAATTTGGTATATGTTACAAGGCGCTTGTGACAATTGCTGGCAAGATATACAATTATATTTCATAGTGATATTACTGATGTATTATTTCCCTATTTTTATTTAAATTGTAAAATTTAATGTTCAATTGCATAATCTTGTTAATTTGTTGTTTTGCGTTCTATGCCATCTTATTGTAGTGTATAAGCTGTGTTTTGGCACTAGTTTTGATGATTTGTTTTGCTGAAACTTGCTTTTGTTGAAATTTGCTTGACTCTATTGCACTTACATGATTTAAGAAAACATGCATCTTTAGAAAGCTACTATTGTCTAATTTTTTTTTAAAATTAATCCTGACTTCAATGAATTTTAGTTATATATATATTTTTAATTGAAGGACTATTAGTGCTATATGTTTTTGAAGTTATAATACTTCAAGTTAGATGGTGAAAAACTTTAAATCAGCCCAACAACCCAAGGACTTTCTGACTGTAGTTAACATCAATAGTCATTTTGCTGCAGAATGGCTATTAGTGCTATTTATTTTCAGAGTGAAATGCCTAAACTCATTGACTAAAATGAGGCAGTCCAATAAGCAAAGGTTTGGTTGAGTATGACATGACAAGAAATCGGAAGTTATTAAAAGAGTTACATTGCAACTTGATTGAAAAGTTACTGAATACAGTGCTAACTAGGAGTTAAATATGAAGATTAACATCAAAATCCGGCACCAACTTCTTATTTTGCCTATATAATGCTGTTAAAAAAGAAAAATGATGATAAAGACTTCTTAGATTCTACAGGCTTATAATACTATGATGAATCCTTTTGCTACATACCAATGTTTTAAAAGGAGTGGGCGCGGGCGTTGGGCGCGGCGAGGCGTAAGCCTCAAGGCGTCGGACGTAAGTCCTACATTATCAAAAAATAAGAAATAAAAAAATAAACTATTTGTGCTTAATAAAAAATTAATAAGAGTCATTAAGAGAATTTATATTCATTTGATCTCAAAATAAGTATTCTAGGATTAAAATCTTCAAGATATTAACAAAATTCCACAAAAAAAGTGAAAATATATAAAAAAAAATAAACATGTTTGAGCCAAAAAATAATTTTGTGATCAATTAATTTCAATCCTTGAATCTTATTCATTCTTCAAATTCATTCATTCTTCAAATTCATCCTCAAAATTCATCCTCAAAATCATCTTCTTCTTCACCAATAGTTGTGTCCAAATCACAACTAGGTCCTTCATATTTTCGATATTCATTATCCACTTCATTAAAGTTATAATCATGCTCAATCTCAGATGCTTTCACAATTTATTTTTTCTCATCATTATTGCCTAAATTATAAAAGCAAAATGACATTAGTAAATATTTAGGATCTTTTTTCTATAAGTAATTAAAAATGCATAATTATGTAAATGACAATTAAATGAAAATTTGAAACTTGTTTTTTCATTCATCTTCTTTTTTCTATGAGAATATGTTATAAAAATATCCTTTTATTTAGTGTAATATTTTGTGATTCTTCATTTACATTAGTTGTGGGTCATTTCTTATTACATTAATATCAAATACCCGTTCTTTTTCATTCATCCAAGCAGGTTTCCACTGCATCTTCTTTCTCAACAGCACACTCATCATCAGAGTCTATATCATTTATCAATATTCGATCGAAGTCTTATTTTCTTCTTATGCTTCTCTTCCTCATTCTAGTACTATATCTTACATACACCAAAACATTCAACTTCTTGTGCTCGAACGTGTTCCTATTCTTATTATGAATCTAAGATAAAAAACATTATTTTTAAGAGGTGATTATAAAAAAAAAGAAATTTTAAGAAATAAAAAAGTTTTTACCAATTCAAAAGTGCTCCAATTTCTTTCACAACTTGATGAATGCAGGTGAGACTCAAACTCAAATAGCAAAATTCGTCAACTCATGTGTTTTCCTATCAAATCTCATTGACCAATTAACAGAAGATCTTAACTTTCTTGAGTCCATAGAAACTCTATTTCCAAAGTCTCCTCTTAAGTTATCATATAAGTTTAGTTGAATATTAGCTTTAAAACGATCCTCATAATCCAACATTCTTTCCATACAAGCAATTAACTCTTCTTTCAACTCTTCATTATTTAAAAATTATCCTTAAAGCGATATTGAGGGTTTAAATAATAATCAGCCGCATTTAGTGGTTTATGCAGTTGGACTTTTCATCTTGCTTCAATTTTCCTCCAAATAAGCCCATATTTCTTTTCATTATGCCCATAATTAAAAACAATTTTTTCTTTTGAATCTATTAACTCATAAATATAGCCTATGGCTGACCATTTGAGTCAACTTCTCTTAGAATATTTATAAGCGGTACAATAATTTTGATACAATAAGTAAAATGACCCAAAAAATGTGGATCAAACAAAATATCAGTTCGAGCTTGTATATCTTTTGTCTTCTTAGCCCATTGACTAGAACATGAAGCCTCTGAGGAGAACATTGCATGAAGTGATTGCTTCTGCTTGTAAATGCTTTGAATGGTTAAATATGTCGTAACAAATCGTCTGATATCTGGACGAACGAGTTCCCTCTTCTTTATAAAAGATCTCATCAAACCAAGAACCCATGCGTGCTTGTAAATGAATTTAACAACTTGTTTTGCTTTTTCAAGTGTGCTTCCGTAAATCTTTAACTTTTCAATATCTTCCAACATTAGGTCAATACAATGTGCTACACAAGTTGTCCAATAAATATGTTGTCTTTTTCCAATTATCTTTTTACCTGCATTCACATAATTTGACCCATTATCTGTTATAATTTACTCCACATTTTTTCTCCCACTTTCTCAATCACGTCATCCAAATAAGTGAATAGTAACTCGCCATTGTTTATAGCATTAGATGCATCCACAAATTTAAGAAAAAAAGTCTCAGTTGAACTGTTCATTAGAAAGTTCATCACTTTTTCGATCTATTCAACTATCTGACATAATCGAGTACCCATATTTACTCCATGTATTCTTATGCTCCTCTAACATATTATTAATTATAACAAATTTATCTTTGATATTCAAGTTCTTAATTCATGCATTGTAGACGGAGTAAAACTAGGTCCAAAATTAGCAACTGCTTTAAACATATACATGTAATAAGTGTCATGGACAATATTAAACGCCAATCCGACTGAGTACCAAAATCTACTAATTGCTCTTCATGCTTCTTTTCTTTTATCTTTTTTTCCAATTAGAATTTAGAGTAGAATTCCTTGCTTGTGTTGTGGTGAAAGAATCCATTGGACCTCTAACTTTAAGTGGCCTTTGAGAGAAGTCAAATAATGATGAATCAGTATTATTTTGACATCCACAAATTTTTGTTGCACTGCTTCTAATGTCACTTAATATACTGTCACGTTGTGCTTTGACTTTTGCATCTTCTTTTTATACTTTCTTGTATATCTCTTAAACTTTAATGGGGGCTTTACTGCACTGTTTAATACCCTTTTGTGTGCTGACAAGATGTTGCTTCATCCTATTTATTGTCCCACTACACTCTTGATTGTAAAACTTACATCTGAAATATTTTTCATTGGATGTGTTTGTTGTTTGTTATCATGTAAAACCTTTTTTGCTAATGCGACTACTACCGATCATATAATCCCCCTCTTTCATTATAGGCTACACATTAAAACAAAAAAAAATCAGATCAAATCCACCTCCAGCAAACTTGAAAAAATAAATTGCGGTTTAGTGTAGCTATAGTGAAAATCCATATTAACAAAAAAAAATCACATTTCTAATTTCTCACCAAATCACGGGCTGCTGATGCTAGGAGAGAAGCAGGCATCACGTTCGGTTTTTCTTCTTGCCAGAGAAGATGTTGGGATACTATTGTAATAATTAAACAGAGTTGCATACTTATGAAGCATGGATGCTATTGTAATAATTAAAATTAAATAGATAAATAATTCATAATAATGCTAATATATAAAGTAAAATAGGTGTCTGTAAGGAAAGAAGCACCTTTTGCATGGATTAAATCACACACTTTTACAATGTTACCCCTTATTCGACCCATTTAAAGATCAGAGGAGAAAGAGAGAGAGAATGAAATCTCTATACAACCCTACCTAATCCGTCGAGGAGGAATGTGGTTTTGCGGCTTCGTGCTCTGTTCTGGCGTGTCAAACCCAAATTGAAGGAGTCGAAGAAGAGGTCGAAGGAGGAGGAGGTTCTGCGGCTTTTCCCCTACCTTGTGAGTCTCATTGTGCTTGATCAACCTCGAGTGGTAGAGAATGGAGGTCGCGTGGCTTGCGTGCAGAAGAGGATGAAACAACTTTGTGCTTGCGTGCAGTAGGATTCAAACCTTGTGTGCAGAGGAAGAAGATCGCACGCTGCTCTGTTGAGTCGCGTCGAGACCAAAGGAGTGGAGGAAGGAGAGTCAAAGCTCATACGTGATGGCATAAGCCATGAAGACTTTCACCTTCCCTTATAATGACTCCATCGAATGTATAAATTACACTGGTGCAAGCCTAATAAAATATTGAACTTTGTTTGGGGCTTACCAAACAACATCGGCTCCAAAACATTTTTCACCCAAATATATATATATATATATATATTATATCTTTGTGAGTGTGTATGTGTTTATAGAAAGTTTTCTTTAATCAAGAATCGAAGGCTTGATAATTTCTTAGGATTTGAGAATGATCTGAATCAAGACATTCAAAGAATGATAAAATAAAGATTTATAAATTTTATGCATTAATTATATAAATTAGTTTAATTAAAGGTGGTGTTAGTTTCATCGCAATAATTTTAGAATTAAGTGATTTTAATTTATCAAGCAGTTGAATTAAAAGGGCGATAGAGGCCAAAGTGCTAGTGGAAGTGAAGGGAAGTATTTCAAAGGTCTTTTAAAGTTGATGAGTAATTAATTTTTTATGCATTAAATTAATATTTTATAAACGAATAATTGCTTTATTAAATGGTGAAAATAACAGACATATGAAGGTGCAT